CCCATTCACTCAGAGCCTATACTACAAACAATTTTGTCCATTGTAAATGTTACATTGTCAGCTAACTTTAACAGCATATTGGTCAACTTTTATAAAGACTCCTCTGCCATCTTACCATATCATAAGGACGATGAACGGCACTTGGACAAATCTGCCAAAATTGCGACACTATCAATTGGGGCTACACGTTTCATGGACTTTGCCACCTGTAAAACGAACCGCCCCTCGTTCAGTCAGCAGCTTCTGTCTAATTCGTTGTTTGTTATGGATCCCGAGTCACAGTTAGCGTACTTCCATCGTATAGCTAACGGAAGTACCTCTGGTGTTTGCCAAGGCTACCGTTTCAGTCTTACTTTCAGAACGCTTAAGCCAAGATCTATTGAAGGGATGTCGTCATCCGACCCTGTTTCATTAAAGTCCAGCACCCTCGATAAGACTGAAGGGGTGTCCTCATCCGGCTCTGTTTCATTAAAGCCCAGCACCCTCGATAAGACTGAAGGGGTGTCACCATCCGGCCCTGTTTCATTAAAGCCCAGCACCCTCGATAAGACTGACGGGGTGTCCTCATCTGATCAGAATAACCGGATACATTTGTCATCATCACCCACCGTTCTTCAAACACCTATTGTCCCTAGTGTGAGCCACAACCCTATTTCTACTGAGCTTTGTCATCTGCCACTTTTTCTTCGGATCCCTGCACCTTTTATAAGACTTACCGGCTGTCACCGTCTGCCACTGCTTCCCTGCACCCCTGATATGACTGAAGGGGCCGGGGTGTCATCATCTCTTCCTCATCCTGTGGAACCCTGCACCCCTGATATGACTGAAGGGGCCGGGGTGTCCTCATCTCTTCATCATCCTGTGGAACCCTGCACCCCCGATATGACTGAAGGGGCCGGGGTGTCATCATCTCTTCCTCATCCTGTGGAACCCTGCACCCCTGATATGACTGAAGGGGCCGGGGTGTCCTCATCTCTTCCTCATCCTGTGGAACCCTGCACCCCTGATATGACTGAAGGGGCCGGGGTGTCCTCATCTCTTCCTCATCCTGTGGAACGCTGCACCCCCGATATGACTGAAAGGGCCGGGGTGTCCTCCTCTCTTCCTCATCCTGTGGAACCCTGCACCCCTGATATGACTGAAGGGGCCGGGGTGTCCTCATCATCTTCTGTATATGCACCATCTATTTCCTACAACGTTAGTAACACCACTATGCAATCTCGGTCGCTAATGTATGGTGGAGGTCGAAATAACAATCCTTTCATCGACAATGAAGCTCAAGATGAAGAAGGTCATGTATCCCAAGAGTCTGACAACTCCCATAATTGTACAGCTTCGCCACATGATAGGGACAATTTCATTGATGACACTGAATTGCACGAATCACAGGAGTATAGACCATATTATGACTGTCGCAATGGTAGCTTTGTAGAAAGTTCCACTCTTTTGACCCCACCTACCGAAAATGACTCTTATGCTTCAACTGTTAAAAAGAAAAAGGAAACGGATTCCTCTACGAAACATGACACTTTTTCTAATATGGCTGATAAAGAGCTTCAAAAAGAGAAAGATCGATATTCTGCTCGTAATCGAATGCGGCAGCATCGTGCTTTTATGACAAGCCCACAGCGTTCACAACATCTTCAGTATGATTGTCATCGAAAGTCTCAAAAGCGAGCAACTATGACCACCACAGAGCTCACAAAACTCCAACAAAATGAACGATCTCGAATGTCTCAAAAGCGAGCAACTATGACCACCACGGAGCTCACAAAACTCCAACAAAATGAACGATCTCGAATGTCTCAAAAGCGAGCAACTATGACCACCACAGAGCTCACAAAACTCCAAGAAAATGAACGATCTCGAATGTCTCAAAAGCGAGCAACTATGACCACCACAGAGTTCACAAAACTCCAAGAAAATGAACGATCTCGAATGTCTCAAAAGCGAGCAACTATGCCCACCACAGAGCTCACAAAACTCCAACAAAATGAACGATCTCGAATGTCTCAAAAGCGAGCAACTATGCCCACCACAGAGCTCACAAAACTCCAACAAACTGAACGATCTCGAAAGTCGTCAACTATGGCATCTATGACAACACCTGAACGCAATGCAAAAAAAGAGCAAAAACGTTTAAAGGAAAAGACCAGGCGCGCAGCAATGACAGATGAACAAAAGAAAATGGCGAAAGAAAAGCGACGCACTCGTATTTCTCTCAATAAAGCTAGGAACAGTACATCTCAGAAAATGTGCTCTCCTGTTCTCCTTTGTCAACATAGCCCAACCAATATGAGCGGTTACAAAACTCAACCAACCTACTCTGCACTTTTTAATCACAATCATTCACGGTCTCCAGCTTCATCACTTAAAACTGCTTACTCACCCCAAGACATTTCATTTCATACAGTTACTGTTAATAGAAATAATAAAGTTGCATCTCCTTTAAATGGATACAGAACTTCTTCTCAATCTCTACCAAAACTACACTCTACTCCACCGCATCACTCACCTTCATCTTATCGGGCACAGGTATCTACTGAGACTAATATTGATATAACCTTGGCTGCTAAATCCTGTTTAGGTTCACCTTCATCTTCTAATACCTTTTCATGCCAAACACCTCCAAAATACACAGCTCAGAAATCAGAAACTGACTCGCATAAATCTCCAGTACCAACGAGGCTTATTCCTACTTTGGATTGGGACTTTGTTCGTTTTCCTCATGGTTCCAAATTATTAGCTGAAATTGAACTTGACTGCGCTAATAAATGTACCTTCTGCCCAGGTTTTATGGAGAATTGCCCCTTTTATCATCTCCAAAGTGTCTCCCTAAATCAACATTTTACTACTTCATCGGGACGATCAGCCTGCCAATCACCCCCCATGGAATATTCTAGCCTGCATAACTTTTTTGTTGAGGACCAACCCGAGGTACCACAGAGGCCTATTTCAACTTTGGATTGGGACTTTGTTTGTTTTCCTCATGGCTCAAAATTATTAGCTGAAATTGAACTTAAATGCGCTAATAAATGTACCTTCTGCCCAGGTTTTATGGAGAACTGCCCCTTTTCTCATATCCAAAGTGTCTCTCCAAATCAACATGTTACTGCTTCATCGGAACCATCTGCCTGCCGGTCACCCCACATAGAATCTTCTAGCCTGCATAACTTTTCTGTTGAGAACCATCCCGAGGTGCCACCCAATGCTTCAAAGGCTTCTCCAGTGCCCCTTGAGCATCACTCTAAATCACCTCCAAAACTCTCATTTGATCCAAAGACTGACAACATTGTGAAGACTTTCCGTGCTAAAATGCGAGAGTACCCAGAATATGCGTGTATTAAATGTCACAAGCTTTTCTTCCGTGAAGGCGTTGTTAAGGCAAAGGATACTCTTAAGTTTAAGCTTAATATTCCTTCGGTTACTAAAGCAGATAATAAATGGATTTGTAAACGTTGCAATAGTTATTTAAAGCGTGGCAAGTTCTCCCCTATAGATGTAAATGAAATGTTCCTGGCATCAGGCGATCTCCCATCCTCCCTTCAGCCAAACCCCACCGAATGCCGCTTAGTATCCCAAATCATTCCATTTATGAAAATTTTATCCCTTCCTGCTGGTGGTCAAAGTTGTATTAAAGGCCCTGTTGTAAATGTCCCCATCCAACCTGACAGAAATTGCATGCAGCTCCCTCGTAAACTTTCTGAGTCTGGTATTTTAGCTGTCCGTATAAAACGTAAGGTTGAGTACAAGTCTGTTGTAATGTCTGATGTTGTTAATCCTGATAAATGTATAACATTATTAGTATGGCTTAAGAAAAACAATCCTTTTTATAAGAATGTTGTACTTTCCCATGATTTCATTAAACAAAATTACGATGGTGATAAGCAGTTCTTTGACTCGTACATGAATGATGACCCTGTTGTTGTTTCTATGTCAATATTAGATCTTATTTTATCGAATGTCACTAACGAGGGTACGTACTGTGATATGCCTTTTGAGTCTTGCATCCAAAAATCTGATCCAGCTGAGAACATTGATGACGGTAAAATACCTTTCATGGACTTTGCACCTGGCCAGGGTAGTAAACCTGTTCCTTTCCTTGGTAATGCCGACTACGAAGCCTTGTCATTTCCTGATCTATTTCCTCTGGGTAAGGGTCACTTCAACTGCAGCAAAAGAAATGATCTCATTAAGAAAAAACTCCTCCCTAAACTCTCCTTAAAAGATTACGCTGAAAGCAAATTATACTCTAAGCATAGAAAGTACGCTCAAAACCCCGAGTATATATTTTACATGCAGAACTGGATTGAACGTGATCAGCTACTTAGTTGCATTGCTACTCACATGCGCAAAGGTTCTAGAACTATGGACGGTCAAATCATTACCGCAGGGCTGCTCAGATCTTACCAGTGCAACATGGATCAGCTTCAAAGTAACATTGATGCTTATAAATTCATGAAAAATATGAAGGGTACACCTGCTTACTTACAGAAGATCAAGAACGATGGTATAGCTATGGTGAATCAGCTAGGTAATTTCACTTGGTTCTTAACATTCTCCTTTAATGACTTGGTCTACTCAGTTCCTGCTATTCTGAAATTAATGGGTCAGGAACCTACGGATGAATTATTAAGTGACATAAGCTGGTTTAGGAAGCACGAGCTAATTAAAATGGACCCTGTCATTGCTGTGCGCATGTTCGACCGCTACGTCCGCAAAATTCTATCTTATCTGATTGAGGATCAGGGTGTCATGGGGGAGGCTTTGGCTCATTTTGGTAGAAATGAGTTTGGGGGCCGTGGATCCCCTCACCTTCACATGCTTCTCAAAGTAGTAGGTGCTCCTATACCAGGTGAGAGTCCCATCGAGGAAGTAATAGAATTTATTGATAAGTATGTTACAACTCATTATCCAACCCTTGAAGAAGATCCCGAGGTTCACAAACTTATCAAGCTTCAGCTGCACTCCCATACAAAAAAATGTCAGAAAGGTGGTAAAGACATATGCCGTTTCGGATTTCCCAAAACACTTTCTGAGGTTACAAAAATTGTCTTTAAGGAAATCAAGAAAATGATGACAAAAAAGTCAAAAAACAACCAAAAGTCTGCTGACAGTGAACCCAAAGTTGAGGCTCCTAAACTGCGATCTAGAGATGTCATCTACAAACGTAAACCTGGCAGCGAAAATGTAAATACATACAATCGTCTTCTACTCCTTGCTATACAAGGGAACATGGATGTTCAAATTTGTATGAGTCCGTGGGATGTTGTTAATTACGTTATTTCGTATGCCACCAAAAATGAAAAAGAGGTTTGTGACGCCTTGAAAGATGTTATTAAAAATATTGATCAGCCGAGCAATAAGAACTCTAAAGAAGCCCTTCGACAGCTTGGTAATACTTTTTTAAATTCTAGGTCCGTCTCCGTCCAAGAAGCTATTTTTCGATGTCTGCCCCAGTTGAGTCTCTCCCATTTCAAACCTTCGGTTCTTTTCATTCCTTCTGACATGCCAGGGGATAGACATGGCATTGTCAAACCTCGTTCTACCCTACAACAGCTGCCAGATGATTCGGAAGATGTGTTCCATAACTCGCTTCTTGACAAATACCTCAATCGTCCTGATGATTTAGAGTCGATCTGCTGGGCTCAATTTGCTTCCTTATACGTTCGGTTAGACAGAAACGTAACTTCTAAAAACAGACACAAAGTCATTACTCTTAAATCTAATCTTGGCCAGATGATAAGGCGAGACTCGCCTCAAGTTATCAGAAGTAATAAAAAGTCTCGCACAAAGCAGCCTGAAAAGTATTACTATTCGAAACTGTGTTTGTACTTTCCGTGGAGAAAGGAAGCTGATCTTATTGGCTCCTTTGCCACTTATCAAGAGTCATTTGCTGAGAATGTTGATGCCATGAAACCCAACATCAAAAAGTTTGAACAATTTGACGACGAAACTCTGCAAAAAATGGAAGCTGAAATAAGACAAGAGATCAAAGATTCACTTCTTGATGAAAATAAAAGGGAAGTTCTTGATGGTAGGCATCTCTTCAATCATCCCTTTGAAGGTATTGATATATCGAAGGAGGAAGAGAAGTCTGTGTTCAACGTCACTTATAAGGAGCCCATTGTCTCTGATGAACAGTACCAGCAAATGGTCACCAGCCTCAATGACAAACAGCGCGAACTCTTCAACATTGTAGATCATCACTCTTCCCGGGTTGCACAGGGTCACAAGGTCAATCAGCTTCTTCATTTTGTTAGTGGTGCTGGCGGAGTAGGTAAAAGTTTCCTCATAAAATGTATGCGCTCCTGCATCTCACGCAAGTTCCCAGACAGTATCATTAAACCTAGGGTTGCTGTTGCAGCTAGCACTGGTGTTGCTGCAGCTCTCATTGACGGTCAAACTGTTCACCAACTCCTTCAGTTAGATTGTCAAGAGGGCGGAAGAATCCAACCTAAACCACTTAATCCAAAAAAGAAGATGCAGATGAGGAGGTTCTTTCAGCATGTAAGGTATATCATTATAGATGAAGTGTCCATGGTGGGTAACACAAACCTCAACCAGATCAATTCACGGTTGAATGAAATATTTGGGGTTCCTCCTGAAACCACAATCTTTGGGGGAATCAACGTTATCTTCAGTGGTGACCTTCATCAGATTCCTGCGGTTCAACAAACTATGGTGTTTGAGACTAAAGGTATCGCTGCTCTTGGGCCTAACATTTGGAAGGATTCAATTACATTTTCTGAGCTAACGGACATAGTTAGAGCAAAGGGTGACAGTCAGTTCACGGAACTCTGTCACAGGCTTAGGGTAGGAGAGCACACCCCAGAGGATATTGAGTTGCTGGGTTCAAGGGTTGTGGAAAAACAGCCTAAACCTGCTGAAATCATGGACTCAATGGTCATTTATCCAACCAATAGGCAGTGCAACAGTCACAATCAGGAGTGCATTCAAGAATTGAGCAAAACCTCTTCAATAGTTAACGTTGTTGCTCAAGACAGATTCTCCAATGAAGTTTTCAACAAATCTTCCAATTTTGGCGACAAAGTTTATGACAAAATGAACAAGAAACCCCAAGATTACACGACTGACGATGTGAACAAAACTGCTGGGTTACCAACTTCATTAAATATTGGTCCAGGAGCTAGGGTCATGGTGCGTGTTAATATCGACACCCCTGACAAAATTGTAAACGGTGTGACTGGGACTGTCCACAGTTTCCAACTCCAAAATGGCAAAACTGTCAAGGACGGTTCATGCAGTGCTAGAGACATTCGGCACGTTAATGTTATGTTCGATGATGTTAACGTCGGCAGAACCATAAAACATCATTGTGACAATTTCTGCGCTAATAATTGCACCAAGGTTGGCACTGTTCCAATTAAGCCCGTGGAAAAGGAATTTATCTCCAAAAAGAATAGTAAAACGTGGCTCAAACGCTATCAAATTCCATTGGTTCTCTCTTGGGCCTGCACTGTTCACAAAGTTCAGGGTTTGACTTTGAACAAAGCATATGTATTCCTCGCTGGAGCATCAAAAGGTCACTCATGGCAGTCAGGCATGGCATACACTGCTATCTCTAGGTTAACATCTCTCCTTGGTCTGCACTTCATATCTTTTGACCCCAGGCAAATTCGCACATCTAAGAAAGTTGTAGATGAGTATGCTCGACTACGTGATGTTCCTAAATTTTGTGTTGTCCTCCAAGGTAATAATGTTCCTGCAGCTACTTGTGAAGAAGTTTTAATAATGAGTCCCATACCATCTGATCCCATCACTCTTCCCTGCAGTAAACCATGTAGTGTGTCATCTTCTCCGCACAACACCATCATCACCTCGCCTCCTGTATTAAAACGCCACATACCTTTTTCTCCATTAGCGGATCTTACGAAGAAACATTTCAAGGCTACCTCATTATATTCTCCGCTCTCTATGATGTCTCCACAGCCTTCTACTGGTCTCAAACGTCCTTTACCAAACTCTCCTCAAGTTCCAGCAAGTCCACTTCTAAGTAAACATCTCAAAACGACAAAGTCTCTTTCTCCTTTATGCAATGCAGATGTGGTCAACAATCCGGTTATGCAAATTCCTACCAGTTATCCACAAGTTATCTCTGAAACTGTTGGCAGGGCTCATGTCATTGATTTTTTGGGTCATCCTCAATCGGCAGAAACTGCAACTTTATTACAATCTTTGGGATTCTCAGTCAATGCCTCCTTTGCTAATATCCAGGTTAATTCCAGTTGTGGTTACATCGCCTCTAGAGTCATTTCTAAACTGAAGTCCTTCCTTTCGACAGGCCAGTCATGGTTTAACGCATCACTATTCGACTGTAACTATTGGGGAGCCTCGGATTTTGAGACAGACATATGTGCACTAGGTAATCATGCTCTTAACATTTCCGGCACAAGTCCCGTGTTCCTTTCAGAAACTAATTGCCTTGATCTTATTCCTATTTACTCGCTCCATTTTCACAATTTATTATTTATACATAGAAATGATTATCTTTCCAATGTAGAACCTCCCCATAGTAAGTCTACGTTCAAAGCCCGCATCATACACCTTTGGGATAAGTTTAAGTCTAACGCACAGGTCCTTCCCCCAACCCTATTTATAGTTAATACAGACGATGGTCATGGCGTTCATTGGTATACTGTTATTTTAGAAATTGGCTCTGCGCACTCCCCATCTCATGAATTGTAATTTCACCCTCGGCATTGTGAATGTTAGCCCTTGCACTTATAAGTAATCTTACACTCTAGCTCTCATTTACTATCACCAATAATTTCTAACAATCACGAACACCACTCACCCCATACCTATCCTAGAACTTTCACAACACCATACCAGTGCTGTTGTAACGTGACTTCTTGCGGTGTGAACAGTGTAGTCAGCCTTACATTCTTACACTCGAGGTTCTGATTACACAGGTAATACAGTCGCGTTTTTAAAGCAATAATATTTTTTGTCGCCTATAATAATGCTTTACATTGATAATACAAATTAGTTTCAATTACTTATTCACCGTTACGGTTTAAATGCCAATAAATTTAGTAAATATTAATGTTTCTTTTAACATAGTTCCTCCTAACATTATTCGTTTTTCAGGAAGTTAGACGTACAACAGGACACTGAAGTTTAAGACACAAGCTATAACAACAATTATAACATTACATATCACTACTACTCTACAATTTAATCAACATTATCTTATATAATTATATCTACGTTAATTTATGCTCTCCATAATTAACCAATTTCTATTATCATATTAGCAATAAATGACATGCACATACTACATTTTCCATTTAACTTGCATTCTAACTTTACATTTGTTTTACTGCAGCTATTTAATCGATATACTTTTGTTACCTTATAATTTTCAATATGTCATAAATGTCATGTTATTATCTCATAATATATCTTTAAACCCCTGTAATACCTCAGTTATCAGATAAGATTGGATGCATTATCATATGTTAGCAAAGAGGTTCGTCCGAGCAATTTACCCGTGGGATTGTCACGTGCTAACGGAAACTGAGAAGAGTGGTTAACTGCGTGTGGTTATTGTACCTCATCATCAACTGTTCTCAGGCTAATTACCTCACCTCATTCTCCACATCTACATAAAAGGGAAGGTGTTTCTATACTTTTTTAATATAATAATACAATTATTATGCACATTCAGTTTTCTCACGCTTTCATTCAAGATTGCTTCACCACTTTTGATTTAATGTTCATATAATGTAGATGTAATATTACGCACGGGACAATCACAACTTATTTCCTTTCAGATCAGTTGCTTGCTGTTTTCCAGTCTTTACATTCGGTTTCACAACTGTCAACAGTTCCTTGCATGCCATAGGCTCGCTTATAGAAAAAAATGCCGTCTCCGTATCAGCCCTCCTTGACAGTTGACTCTATCATATCACAATCCATGAAATGGTTCGTAAATTAAACATTATCGATCTATTAGTGTTCATATTTATTGGAAAGATTCTCCATTTTTCTCTGTCACCCTATGATTCCGAAGTAATATAATATACCTTATTTCAACCTATAGTGAATAATCATTCAAACGCATGGAAAACTAATTGAATAATTAACTGATTTCAGAGCAGCTGTGAACACAATTTTGTCAAAACATAACGCACACCATCGGCTGCTGATTGAGTGATATTACTTCCTAATTCACAGATCTCCAAATCTACTACTTTACACTAACCTAGCAAGACAATGGAATGAACACTTCATCTTACTGAACTAATTAACATACTGGACATTGAGACTTGAATTCCAATAATTGGTATCATTGAAGTATGACTGAAACACATCATTTAATTTTGTATAACCACTAATTAGAAAGTGGAACAGAGGGACCAGTTTTATGCACAACATGATAATAATATGTTCTCTTCCTTAACTATCCATTTCCATTTCACCGGAACCTACATTATATCGTGTATCATTTTTCTCTGCCACAGAGTTGCGCGTTGTTATGGCAACTTCAATCTTAACGTTTGCGGAGGAACATTCAAATTAAATCTACACGCGATATTTCAGAGTACAGTCGCGCGGCTTATCAGTAAAATTAATTAAATTACCTCAACGCGCGCACCGTGTCTGAACAACATTTATCTTCCTCGTGCCACAAGAAAGGAAAAATTAATTGAAGGCCAATGTATTATATAATGAAATTTGAAGAGTTGGTGCAAGTGGATGGAAATCTAGCGTCCGCCGACAGCCGAACAAACGGGCGCAATTCTTGTTGAGTTTAACATTGAATATTTTAGCTTGGTTATTGTAATACTTAATTTTCAAGTCTCTATCCGATAACTAAATATTTTATCTTTACGACAGTATAAAATTTGTTTGTATATTTGCTAAATTAAAAAAACAGTAGGAATAGAAACGTCGAAGGTCTTGCGCTTATTTCAGTCCCAAAATATACTCTAATCATAAACTTCATAAAACCCACTGAAAATGATGTCTACAGGCATATTAAGCCCTTACACCTTCCCAAATCATTTAGCAAGGATTCAGAGCCAGTTTTTAAAATTAGCTTTCGAATATCATTGTTAAGACATAAAACTATAAATAAATGAGTGCCTTTTTCTCTTTCGTCTCGATAGTTTCTCTTTCATTTTAACATTATGTATAATGTATACATTAGTAAAAGCAATCAGCGATCTTTATTAATCATTGAAGGAGTAGAGTAATTGGTCCTCGTCAATGTTTAGTGTCTGATTACAGTTTCGGTCCGACCTCCACAACTGAAAAGATATTGGGGGTATTATCAGTTATGTAAATGGAAAAATTATATTTGCATCATAAAACTATGAAAACATTGAAACTAATGTTTTTGAAGGCTCGCCTATTCGTTTAAGCAATCAAATAGTCAGTGCATGCACAGTAAAGAACAGTTGAAGGCACCGGGAATGTTTCAAATATAACCTCAGTCCACTATCAAGTATCAAACCACACACTCCACTGTCCACTATGTACTATAATGTACAATGGCAATTAAAATGTGTTCCCGGCATTTTAAAATGCGCGCATCTTGCGCCGTGACCATGACGGTCACAGCGCATGCTGGTGAACGGAGGTAGGCTGGTGAACGAGTTATTGGGACAAAATTGGAACATTTTGGAACATTGGTTACATCGGTTGTAGACATGCAGTGATTCCCAAACTTGGTTTGAGTGGTCCTAGGACCAATCTAAACGCTTTCCGGCCAGTTTTAAACCGTTCTGAGCACTTTTATTAATTTTTGTTCATTTTCGTGCATTCCATGAACCTGGGTAATTTTCATGCTCATTGGAATTTAGAAGGTAAAATAACTCACATAACAGTGCTCCCGACAAGTTTCACGGATATAGTGATTGAGTTTCTAGTCACCTAGCCTCTTGGCCTGAAAGATTTCTTGTTCGGCAGGGTGACTGCTTGAACGTCAACTTCAACCTTTCCCACTGTGCACTGCATCGAATCGAGGTAGAGTTGTTAACTGAAATATTGCATTCAGTCTAGCGACCTTTAAATCTGAGTCAAACTTAGTATTTCTGAAAGTTTCGCAAAATTTTATTGATTACAGAGGGTGTGTCACGCCACTCTCTCCTTAAGATCTTGCAGATGTTAGCACCATACCGTACCTGTTCATTATAATAGCCCTAGACTATTGTATGAGACAAGCCTTAAGCAAGCACCCTGAAATAGGATTTACCATTAAAAGCCTTATAGGAGTAGGAGAGTCAAGGTGGAGAAGATATCGGTCACTGGTTTTGTGGATGACATTGCTCTGATAGCAGATACTGAAAAGGAGACAGAGACGCTGATGCAAGAGATAGAAAGGGTTGCTGCCACAGTGGGACTTAGAATGAATGAAGGGAAAAACTAAATTCATTACTCAGAACATCAAGAACCCTGATACCATCAAGTCTCTGGGTAACCATGCTGAAAGAAAGCCTGTCTCTGAAGAAGGAGAGACGATAAAAACGTGATACGATACGGTATGTTGAAATAAAGCCAGTCTCTGAAGAAGGAGAGATGATAAATACGTGATACGAAACGGTATGCGAAAGCTATGTAGTTGATCAGACTTAAAGTTACGTGTTCTTAAGAGGGTGAGAGGTTCTTTAGTAAGGCCGACTGATTAAATGAGGCTCTGAAATGAACAGGAATCTAGCAATAATAGCATGGAGAGTGGGGAAAATCAAAACGCGGAATAATAATCTAACTCTAAGTTAACGATAAACTGGTACAGAAATCAAAAGTCCGAACACGGAGTCTAGGAGTAGGAAATAGCTGTGAACCAAACAAACAGAATGGCACCCGTGCATGATATATTAAAATATGTACCGTTCTAGGATGCCTCCACAAACTTTTGCTCCTCTGTAAATGCACGTTTTAGTGCTGTAGCGAAAGCTATGTAGTCGATCAGACTTTAAGTTACGTGTTCTTATTAGGGTGAGAGGTTCTTTAGTAAGGCCGACTGATTAAATGAGGCTCTGAAATGAACAGGAATCTAGCAATAATAGCATGGAGAGTGGGGAAAATCAAAACGCGGAATAATAATCTAACTCTAAGTTAACGATAAACTGGTACAGAAATCAAAAGTCTAGGAGTAGATAATAGCTGTGAACCAAACAAACAGAATGGCACCCGTGCATGATATGTTAAAATATGTACCGTTCTAGGATGCCTCCGCAAACTTTTGCTCCTCTGTAAATGCACGTGTTAGTGCTGTAGCGAAAGCTATGTAGTCGATCAGACTTCAAGTTACGTGTTCTTATTAGGGTGAGAGGTTCTTTAGTAAGGCCGACTGATTAAATGAGGCTCTGAAATGAACAGGAATCTAGCAATAATAGCATGGAGAGTGGGGAAAATCAAAAAGCGGAATAAATAATCTAACTCTAAGTTAACGATAAACTGGTACAGAAATCAAAAGTCCGAACACGGAGTCTAGGAGTAGGAAATAGCTGTGAACCAAACAAACAGAATGGCACCCGTGCATGATATGTTAAAATATGTACCGTTCTAGGATGCCTCCGCAAACTTTTGCTCCTCTGTAAATGCACGTGTTAGTGCTGTAGCGAAAGCTATGTAGTCGATCAGACTTCAAGTTACGTGTTCTTATTAGAGTGAGAGGTTCTTTAGTAAGGCCGACTGATTAAATGAGGCTCTAAAATGAACGGGAATCTAGCAATAATAGCATGGAGAGTGGGGAAAATCAAAAAGCGGAATAAATAATCTAACTCTAAGTTAATGATAAACTGGTACAGAAATCAAAAGTCCGAACGCGGAGTCTAGGAGTAGGAAATAGCTGTGAACCTAACAAACAGAATGGCACCCGTGCATGATATATTAAAATATGTACCGTTCTAGGATGCCTCCGCAAACTTTTGCTCCTCTGTAAATGCACGTGTTAGTGCTGTAGCGAAAGCTATGTAGTTGATCAGACTTAAAGTTACGTGTTCTTAAGAGGGTGAGAGGTTCTTTAGTAAGGCCGACTGATTAAATGAGGCTCCAAAATGAACGGGAATCTAGCATGGAGAGTGGGGAAAATCTAAACGCGGAATAAATAATCTAACTCTAAGTTAACGATAAACTGGTACAGAAATCAAAAGTCCGAACACGGAGTCTAGGAGTAGGAAATAGCTGTGAACCAAACAAACAGAATGGCACCTGTGCATGATATATTTTAATATGTACCGTTCTAGGATGCCTCCACAAACTTTTGCTCCTCTGTAAATGCACGTGTTAGTGCTGTAGCGAAAGCTATGTAGTCGATCAGACTTCAAGTTACGTGTTCTTATTAGGGTGAGAGGTTCTTTAGTAAGGCCGACTGATTAAATGAGGCTCTAAAATGAACGGGAATCTAGCATGAAGACTGGGGAAAGTCAAAAAGCGGAATAAATAATCTAACTCTAAGTTCTCCACTACCTGAATATTGATCGGGAACAGGTTAGCCGCGTATGTGGAAAGAGTGAGTTAGATTATAGGTAACAACGGGTAGTCTCAAGCTACCCGTCTTTGCACCGTAACTTAGCCATCTGATCTAGAAGAGGAAGGGAGGTTATCATCTACACATACTGTATTAGGAAGTTAATCGTGTCCTAGCTACAGATCATACCTTATTAAGAAGTTTATCGTATCCTGAAAAAAATACCTTATTAGGAAGTTTATCGTGTCCTAGAAACAGGCCATATAACAGAATTATCACTTTCTCCTCCTCCCAATCCACAGTATTCCGGAGTTTCTGCAACGTCACTAAAACTGCAAAACATTGTAAGTTCATATGTAGATTCTATAAAAGGTTTGAATTAAAGCAGAGAGGTTAATAAGCACTTATCATATTTAGATTATATGTTATAGTTCAGTCAGTTTTTTTTGAGACGCCTCCATGAACCACCACGGGGCGACCTGCCCAGTAGTAAGAGCTGCCCAGTAGTAAGAGCTGCAGGAAATCACAAAAGCAATGAGGAATGTTGAAATTAAATGACTTTTGTCATTTATGGGTGCTTGTATAATAATTTTACCGCAAGATTTTGATAATCTTTGTAATAAACTAGTGCAATGATTGGACAAGTCACAATCAACAATGATAAAAGTGTTTTATATAAAATAACCTAAAGCGAGAATGTCGTTAGTTAACTATAAAATACAGTACCAAGCGATGTATTAAAGTAACACAATTATACTCGTTCTAATTGATATTAGCTTACTTTGATTCAACGAAAACCTACCTTTTATCTGCTTTCGTGAAATTCAAAAGTGATGTTAAAGTAACACAAGCCCTTTAAAGCTTGCAGGGGTTCCTCCTCACAGGAGGAGCTAAGTGCAAAGAAACTGTCACTAACTGCTACAAACTGCCACTAACTGCCACAAACTGCCACTAACTGCCACAAACTGCCACTAACTGCCACAAACTGCCACTAACTGCTACAAACTGCCACTAAC